ACAGAGAGACAGAGAGACAGAGAGACAGAGAGACAGAGAGACAGAGATGCGGGTTGGGGGTAAGATGTAGAGAGAGAGAGACATGCAGGGAAGGAGCGAGATAGGGAGACAATGAGACAGAGAGACAAACTGATAGACATTCACTTTAGGTGCATTGTTCTTGCACTGTGTCAAACTCTCTCCTTGAACGTTTGGAATTATTTATGACTGCTCAGGTAACAAAGCAATCAATGTCCGAATGCAGCAAGATCTAGACAATATCCAGGCTTGGGTTGACAAGTGGCATGTAACATTTGCACCACACAAGTGCCACACAATAATCATCTCCAACAGGAGGATGTTTGACCACTGTCCCTTGACAGCCAATGGTATCACTAAATCCCCCGCTGTCAACATCCTGAGGTTTACCATTCAACCTGAGGCTTAGCTGGACTAGCCATAAAGGTGCGCTGGATACGCAAGCAGGACAGAGGCTTCTAGTAACTCACCTCCCGACTCCCCAAAACTACCCACTGTTTACAAGGCACAAGTCGACAGTGTGATGGAATACTCCCCACTTGCTTGGATGAGTGCAGCCCCAACAACACTCAAGAAGCTTGGCATGATCCAGGACAAAGCATCTCGCTTGACTGGCACTGCATCCACAAGCATCCATTCCCTCCACCACTAACAAGATACTCTGCAGAAATTCACCAAAGATCCTCAGACAGCACCATCCAAACCCACGACCACTTCCATCTCAAAGGGCAAGGGCAGCAGATATATGGGACCACCAGCAACTGCAATTCCCCTCCAATCATCCTGACTTTGAAATATATCACTGTTCCTACAACATCACTTGGTCAAAAACCCTGGAATACCCTTCATAAGGGCATTGTGGGTCAACCTAAGCACATGGACTGCAGCAGTTCAAGGCAGCTCACCTCCACCTTCTCCAGAGGCAACTAGGGACAGGCAATAAATGTTGGCTCAGGCAACAATGCCTACATCCCACAAGTGAATAAACAAACTATCATAATCCCATTTTCCTGCACATGTCCTACAGCATTCTATGTCTTGGCAAGTAAAGGCAAGTATCCCATATGTCTTCTTAACCACTTTTTCCATCAGTTCTGACATATCAAGGGGCAAGTGGACATGCACACCAAGGTCCCTCTGATTCTCAGTGCTTCCTAGGAACTGACCAGTCATTCCATTGCTTTGTTTGTCCTGCCCAAGATCGTCACCTCTCATTTATCCAGAATAAATTCCATTGCCATTGATCAATCCATCTGAGCAGCCTGTATATCCTTTTGTAGTCTAAGGCTATCCTCTTTCATTACCATCCCTCAACCCTCACCCTCTGATTCCTGCCACTCAGCCAATCAAGAATCCAATTTGCCAAATTTTCTTGGATCCCATGCGCTCTTACCATTACTATCAGTTTGCCATGTGGAACCTCAGAGTCACACACCTGTACAGCACAGAAACAGACCCTTCAGTCCAACTCATCCATGCCGACCAGATATCCTAAATTAATCTAGTCCCATTTGCTAGCATTTGGCCCATATCCCTCTAAACCCTTCCTATTCACGTACCCATCCAGATGCCTCCACCATTTCCCCCAGCAGCTCGTTAAATACATGCACCACCATCTGCATGAAAAAACTTGCCCATTAGGCCCCTTTTAAATCTTTCCTGTCTCACCTTAAACCTATGGCCTCTAATTCTGGACTCCGCTACCATGGGGAAAAGACCTTGCCCATTCACCTTATCCATGCCCACTCCATGATTTTATAAACCTCTAAGGTCACCCCTCAACCTCCAACACTCCAGGGAAAATAGCCCTAGCCTATTCAGCCTCTCACTATAGCTCAAACCCTCCAACCCTGACAACATTCCTGTAAATGTTTTCTGAACCTTTTCAAGTTTAACAATATCCTTCCTACAGCAGGGAGACCAGAACTGCACACAGTATTCCAATAGTGGCCTAACCAATATCCTGTACAGCCGCAACATGACCCTCCCAACTCCTATACTCAATGCACTGACCAATAAAGACAAGCATACCAAACGCCTTCACTATCCTGTCTGCCTGTGACTCCACCTTCAAAGAACTATGAACTTGCACCCCAAGGCCTCTTTCTTTAGCAACACTCCTCAACCTTAATGAAAAGCCCTGCCGAAGTCTAAGTAGACTACACCAAAAGCATTGCCCTCATCTACACATCTGGTCACCTCTCTGAGAAACTCAATTAAGTTGGTCACACATGGCACTCCCCTTAACAAAATCATGCTGACTGCCCTTCATTAATCTATGCCTTTCCAAATGCAGAATAACTTTGTCCCTCAGAGTGGCTTCCAATAGTTTCCCCACTGACCTGCAGTTTCCTGGTTTATTCTCTGCTCCCTTCTTGACTAACTGTACCGCATCAGTCGTCCTCCAGTCCTCTGGCACCTCTCCTACGGCCAGAGGGGAATTGAAATTTATTGTTAGCTCCCCTGCTATGTTCTCCCTTGTCTCACTCAACAGCTGGAGATATATTTCATCATCCCTGAAGATTTATTTACTTTTAAGCCTTCCTGACCTCCTATCTGCGCTAATTTATTTAATTGTATCACAGATCTTCTCCCTGATTTCTATACCCATATCATCCCTCTCACTAGTGAACACCAACACCAACACCAACACAAACATTTAGAACACTGCCAACATTCTCTGGCTCCATACACAAATGGACTACAGCTCACCTGCTCAAGGCCCGGTCAGTGACACACACATTCAAGAAACACAAACACACAGAGAGAGAGAGAGAGAGAGAGAGAGAGAGAGAGAGAGAGAGAGAGACGGACAGAGAGACAGGCAGGCAGGGACGGAGAGAAACAATGGCGGCTGGGGGTGGGCAGAAAAGAAGATGGGGGGGTGAGAAAGAGTGGAGGAGGAAGAGAGCTGGGGGGAGACACAGGAGAGAGGGTTGAAGGAGAGAAAGAAAGACAGAGGCATGGAGAGCAACTTACAAAGAAACAGAGAGGGGAGGAGATGGAATAAAGAAGGGATAGAGAGAGATAAAATGCAAGAAAGACAAAGCAAGAGAGGGACAAGGAAAGTGAGAGAGAGAGGGGGAGGGGGAGGGGCAGGAACAGGAGAGAGAGAGAGAGAGAGAGAGAGAGAGAGAGAGAGAGAGAA